AGGAGAAGGAAGGAGCAGGACGAGGACGAGGAAGGGAAAGAGGAGGAGTCGGAGGGAGGAGGAGGCGGAGGAGGGAAGGCGGAGGAGGCGGTAGGAGGCGAAGGAGGGCGGAGTGAGGAGGAGGAGGAGGGAGGAGGGAGGAGGGGAAGGGGAGGAGGAGGAGGAGAGGAAGGAGGAGGAGGAGGAGGAGGAGGAGGAGGGGAAGGGGAGGAGGACCAGTGTAAACCCAAGAGCCATCAACGATGTTGGAGTGAACCCTCCCTCCAAGCTCCCTCTTCATAAGCCCCTGCAACGAGCCAGTTCCATTGAGGGATCTGCCTCGTTGGAAGACAACCATTTGACGACCCGGAAGCATGCCAAAACATTGTTCTTGGGATTCCAACGCCACGGATCAACCTGACTGTTGCGTCTTGACGATCCTGGATCGTGCCAGAACGCCATTCTTGGGATTCCAACACCGCGAACCAACGTAACTCTTGCACCCGCAGAATCCTGAATCCGTCCAAAACACTATTTCTGGTACGCTGATCGTGGGAACCAGTGAAACTCTTGCAATTTTTATCAACGAATATGCGCGGCGCTACGGCGAGAACTACATTTGAACAAGAGCTGCCCTCAACCCGTGAAACTCTGGCAAATGTTTACAACTCATGTGCGCGGCGCTAAGGCGAGAACGACATGTTGAAAAGGAGCCGACTTCAATCCGTGAAACTCTTGCAAATGGTTAAAACGAATGTGCGCAGCGCTAAGGCGAGAGCCACATTTTCGAAAACGGGGTTTCCTCAATCCGTGAAGCTCTTGAATTTTTGACATCGAATGTGCGCGGCGCTGGGCCACATTTTGAAAACCACCCGCCCTCCATCGGTTAACTATTGCCAAGCTTAAACTTCAGAGTCATAAATGGTAAAGAAGTCTCAGGCGAAACGCACGGTCCGCCCGAAAGACTGGCCTCGGGGTGCGACAAGGAGAAATTATGTCTAAGGAAAAGAACGGAGGAGAAGGAGGAGGAGGAGGAGAAGGAGAAAGAGGAGGAGGAGGAGGAGGAGGAGGAGGAGGAGGAGGAGGGAACGAGAGGAGGAGGAGGAGGAGGAGGAGGAGTGAGGAGAAGAGGAGGAGGAGGAGGAGGAGGAGGAGAGGAGGAGGAGGAGGAGGAGGAGGAGGAGAGGAGAGGAGGAGGAGGAGAGGAGGAGGAGGAGGAGGAGGGGGGGGCATCGGCCTGGAATCGGCCACAAATCGGCGACAGGCCCCCGACAGCGAATCCGCAGGGTGCCGGGCGGGGCGAGCTGTCGGGCGCCCTTGAGGCGGTCGAGGGGCGAGCAGGGGCAGCTGCAGCCCCCATCCTTGCTCGGAGGCAAGTCGTGGAATCCTCCCAAACCATCTTGTCGGCGCTTGCGACTCGACGCGAAATCGACGCGAAATCGACGCGAAATCGACGCTGGATCGACGATTCATCGGCACTGGCGGGCGCTGAATCGGCGCTATCCCATCGACTCCCAGACGCTAATCCACGCTGAAGAAAGAATTAAGAGGGTATACCAAGCTCCCATGATTTGCAAACCTCCTCCCTGAGCTTGTCTCCCCGCAACGTCGCCCCCGATGGGACCCGCTTTCCATCCTGGGTCGTCTCCCAGCGGCCTCAGAAGGGCCCCCCCCGGGAGGCCGAAAGCGGGAAAGCACCTCCCAGACACCTTTCCTGATGGACCAAAGAAGGACCCCTAACCCTTTAGAGGAGGAACCTAAGTTAGGGGGGGCAGAAACTGCAGAGATATGGGGTCTTTTTTTGTCTACAGGCGGCCAGACCGCCCAGATGTACCATCCCCGATGTGAAGGCGGGGGCCTCGGTGAGGCCACGTTTCCATGGATCCATCGTGTCATCAGGGTAAGGAGAGAGTCCTTTCGTTCTCAACGATTCCCGCATCCTCCAGTGAGTATCGTTTAACCGATCCTCATCCCCAGCGGCGTGGCCTGGGCCCCACTGGCGTCGTTCTCTTCGAGTTTCGAGGGGTGTATCCCAAACTGGGGTGGTAATTTGGTGGGGGTCTCGAAGGGGATGGAGATGGGGATGGGAATCGGCTAACCGATACCGATCCAGGAAGGCCCCCGCCCTTCGCGCCCGCGCACCGTGCGCGACTTGAAGTGGTCCACCTGCGACCGGACCTGCTGCAGCACCCGGTTGTTGAGGTTCGGTGGCGCGTCCAACGGGGGGGGGTTCAGCCAACCCGCGGTACGGAGGAGGAGGAGGAGGAGGAGGAGGAGGAGGAAGAGGAGGAGGAGGAGGAGGAGGAGGAGGAGGGGCTTCAGCCAGCCCGCATCAGAAGGCTGCGTGGCAGGAATACAGGGGCCTTGGAGGGCCACGCTGGTTTTTCTCGAGCGAGGTGGGCCAATGTGTGCGGCCACGGTTTGGGCCGAAGTGGCAAAGATGCATGGGCATCCGTCGGTCGAGAGAAGCAGGCAAGAGCACGAAGTAGGAAGGCGGATCAAGTAGATTGGGCTCAGGCCCTCCCAGAGATCAACGCAACGCAGCAAGAGCAGATCGATTGTTGAAGTAGGAGGACGGCTGAAGCAGATTGGGCTGTGGGACATCCAAGAATCCGCCGATGCGGCGTGTGAGTTTCTGCGAGCGTGGACTTGAGCTCGTTCAAGCTTCGCTCTGCAGGGGGGGGGGGAGGAGCACGACATTTCCGACGTCATGTCCGACGTTTGTCGGTACACGGGGATATTTCCCGACGTCGTTTCCGACGTTTTTCGGTACCCGGCGACAGGGGGGTATAGAAAACTCCACTTCCGGAGCCCCCCCGGATCGGCGGCACTGGCCGGAGGCCAGCCCAATACCTACGTTCAACGACTGTCGCGTACCCTTGGGAAGGTCGCCCATCCTTACCATGCAAGCTGACTGCAAGGCAGGAAGGGTCGGCTAACTTGGTTTCGTGATTCTGGCCAATTCAGGGGCTCCGGGGCCCTACCACTAACCGGTTCCCTCCTCCTCCTCCTCCTCCTCCTCCAAACCTTCTCCCTTTCTCTCCTCCCTCCTCCTCCTCCTCCCTCCTTTCCTCCCCCTCCTCTCCTCCTCCTCCTCCTCCTGCTTCCTCCCCATCCCCATCCCCCCTCCCCTCCCCACCCCCCCCCCCCCCTCCTGCTCGGCCTCCTCCTCCTCCTCCTCCTCCTCCTCCTCCTCCTCCTCCTCCTCCTCCTCCTCCTCCTCCTCGTCCTCCTCCCCCTCCTCCTTACCTGGGGTCCTGGCCATGCCCGAAGGGGGGAGGCTCCTTCCCAGCAGGCTCAGGAGAGGCCCCTGGCCTCCTTCGAGCAGCTGCTCGGGCCTCTCCGCCACGGCTGTGGGGGGGGCCTCTCCCCAGACCTCCCTCGAGGGCCAAGAAATAGCACCAGGCACCTCCCTCGAGGGCCTCTCCCCAGACCTCCCTCGAGGGCCCAGACCTCCCTCGAGGGCCTCGACATCTGCCATCCAGTCCAGGTAGGTCGATAGGTCTGGAGGCTGGAGGGCTCTTGTTCAGCACTCCGGAAGCTGGTCAGCAGGCCGGAGGCCTTGCAGAAACCCCGCCGCCCTCCGAGGAGGCCCGCCTCTCGCACGGTCCTCGCCGTCGGGCAGTTCGGGCCACAGGGTCGGGGCGCACACGACAGGCCACGCAGCGGGACACGGGGGCTCTTCCGACGGCTCAGCACGGCCTCCAACAGGGGCGCCCTCCGTCCGAACGCGCAGGAGGCCACGAGAAGGGACGGACAGGACACCATCGGGGGCGCGCAAGCATGGATTGGCGGTCCATGGATTTGGCGCGCGATCGCCTGATCCATGGATCGGGGGAGGTGCCCCGCCTCGTTCAGCGGCGGGAATCCACGATTCAACATGGAAACGGGACCCGTCGCTAATCCACGTTCCCTTGATCCATGTTGGCGATCGCCTGACGCAAGGGCACCCTCACTTCTGCAGGGTCGGCCTGCCAGTGCGCCCCGACTGCAAAACTCGGCCCTGCAAGGGCCGTGCGGGTCGAGGCGGGCAACCCTGATGGGCCTGTTTTCCACAACCACCACCACCATAAGTGAGAGGGGGGAAGGAGGAGGATGAGGAGGACGAAGAGGAGGAGGAGGAGGAGGAGGAGGAGGAGGAAGAGGACCCACTCCCCCTCCAATTTATGATGGTGGTGGTGGTGGAAAACAGGCCCATCAAACCCGCCTGAAGACGCCTCCGTGCGAGGCGCAGCCACCGAAGAGGCACCCCGAGGCCGGGCAGACCCCACCGGGCGCCAACGAGCACGCCTCAGCCCCGCGAACGCCGAACCCGAAAAAAACACTTTTTTTCTGAATCGGCGTCGGCGATAACCCAGGTTATCCGCGGGGGGGGGGTGAGGAGGGGGCCGGACGATAACCTACAACCTTCGCGTTGTGGGCAGTCTTGCATATGCCCGCGCCCCCCCTCCCCGGACCTGCACAGCCGGCAAGGTTAGGTTATCCGAGATGGGGGGGAGGGGGGGCATGCATGATAAGCCGGGCTATCACCAGACCCTAAAAATCGGCGGTGGACAAACCTCCCTTCAGCAAACCTCCCTTTAGGGGAAACGACCTGGGACCGAAACCGAGGGACCTAGACCCGCAAAAAGAACGGCCGCGACGCCCTCTCGCGAACCGAAAACGACCAAGTCACGAATCGACGTGTCAGGGTAGGAGGTCGATCCACCTCCGCAAAGAAAAACAGCCTTTTGCAGGGCCGACCCGCCACGGCGCCCCGGCTGCAGCGCGGCCCTGCCGGGGCCGCTCGGCTCGAGCCGGGCAGTGCACCCCCAGAGGAACGCCTCCGGGCGAGGCGCGGCCGCCCAAAAAGGCACCCCGAGGCCGGGCAAGCACCACCACTGTTAAGTCGGGCCTGTCCCCCCACAGGGGGATGTTCGACGAAAAATAAAACATACCCCAAAAATAATCCAAAGATAGCCCAAACATACACTGGGGACTGTGTTTTGGAGTACTTTTGAACCTTTTTGGCGTAGTTTTGGGGGTACTCTTTATCTTTCGTCGAAAATCCCCCTGTAGGGGGACACGCCCGACATAACACCACTGGGCGCCCACGGGCACGCCGGCAGGCCGCGAGCGTTGAAGCCGAGACCTCCACCCCTCGGAGGCGCCGCCGAGATATGGCGGTGCAGCACGAACGCGGCGTTCAGCGGCTCCTCCCCGTTCGCCTCGCCGTGGTGCATCCGTGGGGGTCCTCGCCTGTCCCCTCGCGCCCACCATGCGTGCCGCATCCATGCCGAGTGCCTGTCGTACACGTCGAATTCGCGTCGAATCTGTGCCGGATCCGGCAAGGATTTACGTCGAATCTGCATCGAACCCACGTCGGAGTGCCGGAAAAGACTGCCATTTATAGGAGGCGCTGAGGTGTTGTTCAGGCACCCTCGGCTTCCCGCACATGGACAGCACACGTAGCAACAAACAGTGGAGAAACAGTCTTGCCCTTCCACTGGCCCGATGGAAACTTGGGCGTGAGCCCTGACTGCCGCTCCCCCTGCGCGGCGAGCACGCTTCCCCTGCTGCGCCGACGCGCCCTGCGAGCGAGCGAACGGTTCCCCCCCGAGGATGCAAAAGTCAGCCTCGGCGCCCGGGGGCGCGGCGGCCGCCGAGTCCGCGGCCCACCCACATCGAAGTTCAGTAGGGAAACCCGTGCCAAGAAACACCCTGCCTGCCTCCAGGGTGCCCTGGGTTCCTTGGGTTTCGATGGTTGTGCCATGGAAGGCGTCACGCCCCAGCACCAGACATCAGTGGACCTCCTGGGGTCTCCGGGTTGGGTCTCTCGCGGAAGGCTCCTTGTGGTCGAGTCCCACCGCGCGTGCCAGAAGAACCACTGGCCGCACAGGGGGCGGTCCACCGACAGTGCGCGCAGTGCCCCCTCCTCCTCCTCCTCCTCCCTCCTAAACCCTCCTCCCCCCTCCACTTCCCCTCGCTCCTCCCCTCCTCCGCCCACATCCTTCCACTCTCCTCCTCGCCCTTCCCTCCTCCTCCTCCCCATCATCCATCAGCAGACAATCTGACGCCCCCTCCTCCGCGAACGGGGCCGCGCCGAGTCCGCGGCGCACCGACGGCGGAGCACCAGGAGAAGAGGCTGCCGCTCACGGCAACGGGAGCACGGGAGGCCTCTCCCGGCCGGGGGGCCGGCGGGCGGCACCGCCTCGCCGCTGCACCGCCGGCCTGTGGGCGGTGCATCGGCGACGCCGGCCTGGAGAGCATCGGGCTCCGAGTCGAGCCGCATGGCCGACGCCTCGGCGACGCGGGGCAAGCCACCGACCCCGTCTGCCTCGGCCCGAGTTCGGGAGGCCCAGGAGGGCATGATGGGCCCCTGCTCCACCACCACTGCCATAGGCAGGACGGGGGAGGGCCTTCCTCCTCCTCCTCCTCCCCCTCCTCCTCGTTCTCCTTCCCGTCCCCACAGCCCCCATCCCCCTCTTCACACTTCACCCCCCCCCCCCCCCCACTGCTCTCCTCCTTCCCCTCCTCTCCTCTTCCTCCTCATGGTCCTACTCTGCCGTCCTCCTATCTCCTCCGGCACTCCTCTCCGTCCTACTGCCCCTCCAAACCGCGACCCCCCCTTCACCCCTACTCCCCCTGCTCCTCCTCCTTCCCCTCCTCCTCCTCTTCCTCCTCCTCCTCCTCCTCCTCCTCCTCCCTCTTCTACCTGTGGTAGTGGAGGTAGAACATCGGACCCTCAGGAGAGGCCCCCCGAGGATGCACAGCGAGCCTCGGCGACCAGAGCCGCGGCCGCCGCCTCGGCCTCCTCCTCGGAGCCCGGCTTCGGCGCGGCGGGCCGCTCGAGCTCGCAGATGGACTCCAGGACCTCCACGCTGACCTCGGGAGCGGCCAAGAGGGGGATGTCCAAGAGGGGGGGGTGCAAATCATGACCGGCGGCACGTGCGCGGCCCAGCGTGGGGGGGGCCAGGGACGTAATGACATAAGAAGAGGCGCCATGAAATCTGGGGAAATATCATGGCCCACGCCATGAGATCCACCCCCCCCTAGTCATCACCCCCCTCTTCGCCGCCCCCGATGACCGACAGCTTGTTCGCCACCTGGTCCACCTCCCGGGCGCGGCACTCCAGTTCGGAGGCCCGAGGAAAAAGGTGGCCACACGGCGTCCCCTCAAACGCCCCCCCTGCCCACGACGCAAACACGTCCCCACTTCCGAAGCTCAAATCCGGAGGCCCGAGGAACAGGCGGCCACGCGAGTCCGTCCTGAACCCCCCCCCTGCCCACAGCGCAAACGCCCCCCACATCCGAACCCCGAATTCGGCGGGCCACGGAAAAGGTGGTCACACGTGTCCTCAAATGCCCTCGCTTGTGGGCGAGAAGCGACGACCGAACAACACATGCCCATACCCTTCGGGGGGTCGGAGGAGGAAGGACCGGCTGTGGGTATGGGCGCGGGCTGTCGGACCGCGGGGGAGGCTCCCGTTCGAGCGAGGACCCCCATCCGACAACACGCGCCCATCGCCCCCATCCGTCCCCCCCAGGGTTAGGTCGGGCATGTCCTCCTACAGGCGGAGTTTGAAAGAAATGTGAAACACAGTCAAAACATCAAACACAAGTTTTTTATTTTAAAAACATATATATATATATATATAAACATGAGAATCGTCCCCAGACTGCTGTTCCAATTCAAGGGGACTCGTCCTGTAGAGGAACATGCCCGACTTAGTCCTAGGGGTCTGGGGGTTAGCCCGCTCCCCGCCCATTCTTTGTACACTGCGCAGACAGACGCAGTGACACGAGCGAGGTGCAGCGGCACCTCGCCGCGCTGACCGATACTGCTGCAGCGGCGCAAGGGGGGCGAGACAGAAGCAGAGGGCAGGAAACCAGCACAGGAATGGGGCAGACAAAGCTAACTTTGCTTCACCTTCGTGAATCAGCGCTTTGCTCGCCCGTCTAGAACCATATGCGCATCCGCGACCTCGCGTGCTCGGCCCCCTGGGCCGCGACCCGCGCAACTCTGGAGCGCTTTTTGTTCGCGCATCCGTGCAAGCGCTCCACGGAATCCGGACCGCGCGGGCGCGGGTACGGATACTGTTAAGTCGGGCCTGTCCCCCTACAGGGGGACTTTGGAGGAAAACTAAAAAATATCTAAGAAAATCTCCAAAGTGGTCAAAAGGTACTCAAAAAATAGTCCCCCGACTATTTTTTGACTATTTTTGGGATATTCCCCCTGTAGAGGGCCAGGCCCGACCCAAGGCCAGTCCACAAGAGACCTTCCCACGAGAAACCCAACCCCGAGACCCTAGGACGTCCATGGATCTGTGGCGTGGGAGCGTCACGCTCCCCGTGGAAAAAACATCGAGACCCAAGAAGCCCAGGGCACCCTGGAGGCAAGCAGGGTGTTTCTTGGCATGGGTCCCCACTCTATGCCTGCCTCCATTGAATAGGAACAACAAAACCACAAAAACATAAACTTTTCGAGGTCCGCGCGGATTTCTTGGATCCGCACCAGACCCCCCTCCCGGGCGCGCGAAACGCGCCAGTGGCGGCGCCGGAGGCGCCGCCAGGGGGACCCAGCGCCGATCCAAGAACTCCGCGCGGAGCGCCAAAAGCTTATGCTTATGCCGGTGTTGGTTTGTTCTTCTTCGAAGTAACGAGAGGCTTGCTTTCTCGAGGATCGAGAGGCTTGCTTTCTCGAGGTTCGAGGTCCTATGTTCATGCTCTCTCGAGGTTCGAGAGTCTCGCTTTCTCGAGGTTCGAGGGGGGCGATCCATGGAGGAGGGGGGGCACGTTTTCGATTGAAGTCGAGCGTCGGAGTCTCTCGGAGTGTTCGTTCATGCTCATGTGTTTCTGTTCTTCTCCGACTGGAGTTAAGTCGGGCGCGTCCCCCTACAGGGGGGGCTTTCGACGGAAAAAAATAGAATACTCCCAAACATGTCCCCAAATGGTTACAAACAAATGCTCAAAACATATTTCCCCGACCATGTTTTTACTATTCTTGAATATTCCCCCTGTAGAGGGCCAGGCCCGACCCAAGGCCAGTCCACAAGAGACCTTCCCACGAGAAACCCAACCCCGAGACCCTAGGACGTCCATGGATTTTTGGCGTGGGAGCGTCACGCTCCCCGTGGAAAAAAACATCGAGACCCAAGAAGCCCAGGGCACCCTGGAGGCAAGCAGGGTGTTTCTTGACTATGTTTGTGAAGGGGCCCTGGGACACACAAATAAATACACACAAATAAAACTATTCCTTATATTTTCCTATATTTTTCTGGGTTTTTGTCTTCCCCCCACTTCCCATATTTTCCCATATTTTCTGGGGGATCGACGATTAATTGTGTCTGTGTGTTTTTTCCCCTCCTATGTTTGAACATTCCCCCTGGAGAGGGCGCAGGCCCGACTTCAGACTGGAGTCGAGGGCCGGAGTGCTTCTGCGCGGCTCTGAACCTTTTTTCTGCTGGTCCTTCCTGGGGGCGGCGCCCCCCCCCCGCCGCCACGGCGGGAGCCCCCCCCCCCCCCTGCAGATCTTGCCTCGGGGACCGAGCACTGCCACGAGCCTACACACTCGGGGGAGAGACCATAGAAGGGGCCCTGGGACACACAAATAAATACACACACACAAAATATTCCCCATATTTTCCCATGTTTTCTGGGTTTCTGTCTCCCCCCCACTTCCCATTGTGTCCCATATTTTCGGGGGAATCGACGATGAATTGTCCCATCATCATCATCATCATCATCATCATCATCATCATCATCATCATCATCATCATCATCATCAGCAGCAGCAGCAGCAGCAGCAGCATCATCATCATCAACATCATCATCATCATCATCATCATCACCATCATCATCATCATCATCATCATCATCATCATCATCATCAGCAGCAGCAGCAGCATCATCATCATCATCAGCATCAACATCATCATGGTGGGCCAGAGGGGCGGGTCACTGGAAGGCAGCGGGTCCTCCCCGAGCTCCAGACGCCTCAAAAACTCTTTACGCCGGGGGCACTCGCCCATCTCTTGAGCCGGAACCGACCGCCCCAGAAATCCGACAGGCCTACCATGCCATGTTCTTAGAACCCCTGGATATTCTGAGAGCAAAAACCATGTTCTTAGAACATGGCCCCGATGTGCTAAGTCAAGACAGCATCAACTAGAAATGGTCTAAGAACATTTCGCACACACACACCACAAAAAAGTTCTTAGAGCATCCCTTGGTGGGCCTAGAGGCGAGCCGGGACGCCTCGGCACTGCTTGAATCTTGAAGGCCCCGGGGCCGTCACAGATCGAGCCGGCGCGAAACAGGCAGAAGAGAGAGGAGGGCTAGGGCTCCCGTCGCGACGCGTGCCAGCGGTGCTCAACTTTTCGGGGGCGGCCAAAGGCCCCGGGGGGCGTCCAACCCAGACCTTCCTCGAGGGCTAGCAAAATAGCACCAGGACCTCGACACCTAAAATCCAGCCGAGGTCTTAAGCAGTGCAAATAGCAGATAGATGTAGAGGTCTGGAGGGCGATTTTTGTTAGCGCTCGGGAAGGTCAGGGAAGAGTGGGGGGCGCAAATCGTGACCCGCGGCAGCGCGGCCCAGGGGGGCGGCCAGGGACGCATCGAAAGAAGGGCATCTCAATGAAGGGGCCCTGGGACACGCAAGTGAATATATAAACACAAATCCCAGGATTCCCCAATACTTTTCCATTCTTTCAGGGTTTTCGGCTTCCCCCCGAATTCCCAGAGTTTTCCATATTCCCCTGGGATTCGACGATTGCTTGTGTCTGGGTGGTTGTTTTTCCCCTCCTGACTCATGGCCCCCGCCTGATAGGCACCCCTCCCAATCATCCCCCCCCTCCTGGCCGCCCCCGAACTTCTGTGCTCGCAACGCCGACTCTCTCAAGGCTGGGGGGCTCCCCCCGGGGCCGCCCGGGCTGGCGGACGGGCGGGAACTGACGGGTGGGCGGGTCTGGCACGAGAGTGACGTCATGATGTGCGATTGGTTCTCAGGATGCTCGGAAGCTGGGCGAGGGCTGGCAAATCCGTGGCTGCTAAAACGGTCTTCCCGGAAGAGGAAAGCCAAATTGAAAGAATCAAGCTCAGAGCCCTACACCCTGCGAAATGCTTAAGAAATCATGGGTTAAGAAACTCAGAGTCTCAGAATTTGAATAAAAACCCAGAGCTTCTATCAAAATCTTAGGATTTACATTGAAACATTAAGAATCATCGAGACCCTCGCCGAAAACTTAAGTTTTCTTAAGCATCGCCTAGGGTGTAAATAGTAACCAGGCTGCTTCCCAGACAAAAAAAATCCCGGAGCTGCGTTGTAGCAGCCACGGGCTTGCCAGCCGTCGCCCGGCTTCTGAGATGCGCCGCAGGATTGCCAATGCAATTCTCCCACGGCCCTTGCTTCTGGAGCCTGTGCGGCACCACTGGGAATGTCGAAGATCTGGAAGAACCAAGAGGTACAGATACCACTACTCCTGACTACCTACCAGACCACCCCAACCCAACCCGAAGACCCGAATTTCGGGTTGGGGGGGGGTAAGGGTTCCACGCGTGTTTTTTCGATGTTTCCCGACCCCCCCCCACTAGAAATCGAGGGTAAATTTGAGCCTTCGGGTTGGGTTGGGGTGGTTTGGTGGGTGGTGAACTCCCTGGACCTCTCATGGGGTGCGTTCTGACCAGCATTTCGAGGCGAATCCAGCGGCGGTGACGAGGGCCTCCGAAAGAGGCCCACGGAGGGGCAAACAAGGGAAGGGTAGAGGTGCGTGTACTTCTTCCTCCCCTGAGATCTTGGGGCGCTTCATCACTAGGATGACGTCTTGCTCCTCTGATGGCGGACTCCCCCCCCGCCCGGGACCGGCCGGGCGGGCGCGCGGGCGGCCCTGAAAGCGAGCGCGGGCGGGACGTCGGCGGAACACGCGGTCCGCGCCTGTTGAATGGGAACTGCACTGACGGGTACTTTGGCCACTGCCCGGCGAACGCAACCCTCCCCGATTTGGGCAACGCTGCAACGCCAGAAAGAGACACTAGAAATGGGCAACTTCCGGCAGCTTTCACGGGGACTTTACTGACGGGTACTCTGGCCACTGGCCTGGCGAACCCAACCCTCCCCGACTTGGGCAACGCTGCAATGCCAGAAAGAAGCCCTGAAAACAGACACCGCTGACGCGGTCCGTCTCGAGCGGCCCGGGAAGGAGGAGCGGGATTCCTGCGAGGCCTCGTCTGGAGGAAGAGGAGGAGGAGGAGGAAGAGGAAGAGAAAGAGGAGTAGGAGGAGGAGGAGGAGGAGGAGGAGGAAGAGGAGGAGGAGGAGGAGGAGGAGGAGGAGGATGAGAAAGAGGAGGAGGAGGAGGAGAAAGAGGAGGAGGAGGAGGAGGAGGAGGAGGAGGAGGAGAACAAGAACCACGGTCCTCCCCATCGGGGCCGGCTCCTCGGCGCCGAGCCGTGCTGCCTGCGGCCTCGGCCCCCTCCCTGCTTCCCAAAGAGGGGCCCCGCGGAGGGCAGCAGCAAACAGGGGCCGCACCCGGAGTGAGACGAGCTGCGGGCGCCCTGTCTCCGGGGGGGGGGGAGCACACTGAAGGGGCCCCAGGACACACAAATAGATACACACAAACAACAGGATTCCCTTATATTTTCAAATATTTTCAGGGTTTCCCTATATTTTCAAATATTTTCAGGGTTTTTGTCTCCCCCTCCCCACTTCCTATATTTCCCCTCATTTTCCTGGGAGTCGACGCTTCACTGTGTCTGTGTGCTTTCTCCCCTCCTGGCACACAGAGGCACCCATGCCCCGCGCTGCAGCCCGGGCCTCTCCCGGGGGGGGCGCGGCCCGGCCGGAACCTCGAAGCGGCCGCCCGGCCGTGGCGACGAGAGGTCCCCGGGACGAGTGTCAAAGGGCCCAAAGACACACAAATCCGCTGATGCGGCGTGCGAGTTTCTGAGAGCGTGGACTTGAGCTCGCTCAAGCTTCGCTCTGCAGCTGGGGGGGGGGGTACGTTATTTCCGGCGTCATTTCCGACGTTTTTCGGTTCACGGGGATATGTCCGACGTCATTTCCGACGTTTTTCGGTACCCGGGGACAGGGGGGTACAGAAAACTCCACTTCCGGAGCCCCCTCGGATCGGCGGCACTGGCCGGAGGCCAGCCCAATAAATACACACTGAAAGGACTCTCCACATTTGCCCATATTTGTTTTGGGTTTTTGCCTTCCCGCCCACTTCCCATATATTTTCCAAGATTTTCTTGGGGATGGACGATTCATTGTGCCTGCGTGTTTCTCCCCCCCCTGAGAGTGGCGGTGCCAGCACCTCTTCCTCCCGTGGCTTTTCCCGCGGGGCCCCGCCTCACGGGAGAGCCCAGAGTCGAACTTGGCAAGTCGGAGCGGCGATCGGCACGAACGGGACGGGCAGGAGTTTTCGGACGCCCGACACGGGTACGGAAAGAATGGGTACAATGCCCAACAACAAATGTTTTCCCGAACCAACAGCGGCCGCTGTTGGGCAGGCGGCCTTCTGTCTCGAATGGACACGGGCCGCGGCGGCGTGGACAACGAGTCCTGTTCAGAATGACCAGGATCCGCTGTTGGGCATCGTACCCATTCTTTCCGTGCCCATTCCGTTCGTGCAGGAAATGGCGGCCGAGTGGGGAGAGGCCGAGCCGGCGGGGATCGCCGGGCCGCTGAGCCCCCCACTGGGAAATCGGAGCCCAGGTCGGAATCCGAAGTCGGATCGGATCGAAGCCGCTCGGACTCACATCGAAGTCCGAAGTCCGAAGTCCGAGACCCGAAACCATCGAGATCGAGTCCTGGTCGGAACCGAAGTCGGATAGGATCGAAGCCGCTCGAAATCACATCGAACTCCGAAGTCCGAAGTCCGAAACCCGAAACCACCGAGATCGAGTCCAGGTCGGAATCCGAAGTCGGATCGGATCGAAGCCGCTCGGAATCACATCGACTCGAAGTCCGAAGTCCGAAGTCCGAGACCCGAAACCACCGAGATCGAGTCCAGGTCGGAATCCGAAGTCGGATCGGATCGAAGCCACTCGAAATCACATCGAAGTCCGAAGTCCGAAGTCCGAAACCACCGAGATCGAGTCCAGGTCGGAATCCGAAGTCGGATCGGATCGAAACCGATCGAAATCACATCGACTCGAAGTCCGAAGTCCGAAGTCCGAGGTCCGACACCACCGAGAGCGAGTCCAGGTCGGGATCCCGAGTCGGATCGGATCAAAGCCGCTCGACCTCGAAGTCCGAAGTCCGAAAGACCGAAGCCCGAGACCCGACGCCACCGAGATCGAGCCCAGGCCGACTCGCAGGGAGCGAAGGGAGCCCCCCCCCCGGGCGCTGCTGAAGGGGAACTGGAACACACAAATAAATACACACAAATAAAAATATCCCCAATATTTTCCCATATTTTCTGGGTTTCTGTCTTCCCCCCCACTTCCCATATTTTCCCATATTTTCTGGGAATCGCCGATTAATTGTGTCTGTGTGTTTTTTCCCCTCCTGAGCTGCGCGGCGGCGCCTGCTCCTCCAGGAAGCAGAGCCGGCCCGTGCCCAGCACGTCGCGGTCAGAGGCAAATCTCTTCTCGAAACTCTGGGACGCGGTGCCGACCTGGGGCCGGGTCGGGCAGACTGCCTAGCCGTGCTATTCGGCACCTACACCCTGCGAAATGCTTAAGAAATCATGGGTTAAGAAATTCATAGTCTCAGAACTCGAGTAAAAACCCAACATTTCCATTAAAATCTTAAGATTTACATTGAAACGTTAAGAATAATCGAGACTCTGGCAGAAAACTTAGGTTTTCTTAAGCATCGCCTAAGGTGTAGCCCACGAGCGTTCGGCACTCAGGATACTACGCCCATATATGCACACCATCAGGTCAGAAGGAACCGAAGTGAGGCGACTGAACAGAATAGAATCGTCGCCTCCTCCTTGTTACGGCTGCTCCTGACTGTCCCTCATCCTCCTCCTCGCTTGTTCGTTTTCCTCACGAGTCGATGCGGTGCCGATCTGGGTCGGGCAGGCCCCCCCACAAGAGGGATCTGGGAGGAGCAAGTCGCAGTCGGACTCGACCGGACAGGACACGCGAGAGGACACAAGACCCTTCCGAGGGCCACATTGCCACAGACATGTAGGAAGCATGGGTCGCGAGACACAGGACACAAGCGCTCGGCGGCGGAAATCCGCGATTTCCCATGGAAGCAGGACCCGTCGCGAATCCACGCCCCCTTGATCCAGACATGCGATGTCCTGATTTTTCAATTCGGGGTCCCTGGAAGTCCCGATCCGTTCCCCGGGACGGGTCTGGCGCCCTGAGTCGTGCTGTGACGCCCCCGAGGCCCGGTCGGGACCCCCAGAGGCAGCAAACGGACAAAAACCTCGCGTCGTGATTTTGTTTGCTCGTGGCTCGAGGGGGGTCTGGGATCCACGCCCCCCCTTAAGATCCACGTTTGCGATCGCCCGAAGGAAGCGGGCTCCTGGGGAGACGGGTCCCGGACCCGGGCGCCCTCCCCCAGGACGAGCTCTTCCTCCCGAGGCGTTCTCCGACCGCCCTGGGGCCCGTGAAGAGAGGGCTCGGAGAGCTTCAAGGAGCGGCGAGGACAGAAGAAACAGCAAAGACACAACAAGAGCAGCAAAAACACAATAAAAGCATAGACAGCAAAAAAACACAATAAAAACACCAACAAACAGCATAAACATAATCAAAACAGCAACAACACTATAAAAACAGCAAAAACACAGAAAGCGGCGAAATAGCAAAGACACCATAAAAACATCAACTCCCGGCACCATAAGCACAACATTTCTGCGCTTTCCGCGCGGATGTCTTGCATCCGCGCTGGACCCCATCCCT